AATTCAATGTCCGAAGCTCTGGATGGTCTTGCTTCTCCTCGTAGTCTCCTCACTCTGAAGGAGTTAGGCCTCCTGGCGGATTGGTCCTGGTCTGGTCAGGTGTGGTCTGTGATGAGTCCGCGGAAGGGGAAGGAAGAGTGGCCTGTACCCAGATTCAGGGAGCTCCTCCCTGCCTGGGCATGTCTGTTTCAAGCAGGGACAAGCCTGGAGGGATCTGGGTGAATGGCGCTTAGGACAGAAGTTGGGTAAAAGCAGGGGGTTGCTCACCTGGTCTGGTCTGTCTGTAGTACTCCTTTATGTTGCTCAGAAGAGCTTTTGTTTCTTTCCTATAGTTCTACCTACAGTCATTGCTAATGAATATAGAATCTATTTCTGTCTCTTAAACTTTGTTTTTCACAGGTTGAATAAAGTGCTGTAATTTACTTTCCCTGGTAACTGGCTATCTTGTCCCTGATATCATGACAATGTCAGAGTTTACCTATGAAGATATCTTGTGCTGTGTTAACTACATGGAGAAAATAATAATAAAAATTCTTAGAACAACATTTAATTAAAAAGGTACAATTCAAAATTCTATGAGCTATTATACAGTTTTGTAAATATATGTATATACAGGTAATCTGTTATATATTTCACTGTGTAGGAGATGACATCGTGATTCAAGAAACAAGATAAAGGAACAAAAGAGTTCAAGGTGTGCACATTCCTCTTAAAGTTTACACAGAGGCTCAAGTGCAGATGTTCACCAGGTACTGAGAAGCCCTAGAGGCAGGATTGGCTTCACCTGGAAACTAATGTTCCGGGCAACTCAGCAGAGTGTAAAGGACAAGGTTTGTATCCATCACCTATCAAAAGCAACTGAGGAATTGAGCAGGGGCCTCTGGGTACCAGCTTCAGTGTCCCCTCAGGGTTCAAAAGAAGACTTATAGCAAGCACAGAACTTAGAAGAAGAATATGAGGGTGAAATGAACTCTCCAATATATACTTTTCTGCATCAGTCTGTTTATTGTTCTCTCATTCTGTAAAGTTCCCAGCTTATACACACACAAACAAAAGCAATTCTCTCTGGTAATAGCAAGGTTATAGGACTTGCATTTTTTCAGGGTCATAAGAACAGACAAGCTGGGATACACCACCCATATCTTGGAGGTTCCAAATGTGATCTATATGAAGGACTCCTCTTCTGATGAAATATCCTGCCAAATAGAAGATTATTGCAGGGAGCTGGCTTCTAAGTTTATCGCAGGGAACAAAGCAGAGATTATAGACTGTAGGGACTAAGGTTGTTGATTGTGTGACTGAATTTTTCACCAGAAGTACCACAGGGTTGGAGGAAGTGACTCAATATAAAAAGTACATGGGAAAAATCATGCCAAATAATCTATACACTGCTGGATCTTGCACCAAAAGAGAGTGCTTATGGGTTCACAAGAGATTTACTGTAAGAACAGCTGTTATACAATATATGGCAGGCCTAGTGTCTTGCAGTTGGATTTGTCTCCATCAGAACACATTCATTCTTGTGGGTCAACATTCTGCTTTATCATCTGAAATCTCACTGCATAATTCTTGAGGACCAAAACAGGATATAAAGGAACAAGGTTTGTTCATGCCATATTGAGACCAATAATATAAAAAACAAAGAAAAATTCCTTTTTCTAAAGTAAAGAAATGAGACAAATAATTGAATTGGTCTATGACTTAATGCATATTTAACCATTGCCCCTACATGTGAGATGGGAAGTCGCTGAATTTCATAGTATTCAGTCAGTGAAACAGAATCTTCTCTATCTCCTTGAGACTATCACAGGAGTAAAATAAAGCCATCCACTATAAACAGGAATTCTACAAAGTAAAACATGAAATATAATTGAGACATTACAAGCTTTTAGCTTTCTTTCTTCTTTCCCTCATCTTAGAAAAGTAAATTGAATGGTACTTTGTTATTAGTCAACTTAAGAGCAAATTGCATAAATGACATTGTTATACAAAAATGATTTCTCCATATTTGTTTATGGTCAAGAGTAATCATGAAAGATAACAAAGTCATGAAAAAATGGAGAATTAAGATAAAAATGATGTGGACAATCAGGGTGAGAGAACCTGTAAGAAATATTAGAAGGAAGGTGGGTGGTGGGGAGATTTCATTGTTAGTAAAAGTCATAAATCCATTACTTACACTACTTTAATTGATCCACCAGAGAACACAGAACTCAGCTAAATGAAAAAATGTCAAAGCAACTTAAGAACGTAAGGAACAGTGATAATATTAGACAGAACCTCTTCCACTATGCTTTTCCAGGATAATTTATGCAAGACAAGGAGGTATATACAGTCAGATATCAAAGACAATCTTTCCTACTTTGATTACTCCACCACAAATCATCTCTTTCAGGTATTGAATAGTTATACAGCATGCCCTTTCATATAGGTTCTATGATGAGAGACAACATCTGACATAAAATACTAACATTGTTACATTTATTACATAAAATTATGTAAAAATCCCAAGTATTACCATTACAAAGAGATTTTCTTATTGAAAATAACTCTTATCAGGGCCCCCTTTATGTCTCTGTTCCTCAGGCTGTAGATGAAGGGGTTCAGCATGGGAGTCACCATTGTGTACATGATAGCCATGATAGTCTCCTTCACAGTAGAGTTATTAGCTGATGGATAAAAGTAGAGACCAATAATTGTCCCATAGAACAGAGAAACCACAGTCAAGTGGGAACCACAGGTGGAGAACACCTTGTGGATAACCTGGATAGATGGAACCTTGAGAATAGAAAGGATAATCCTTGCATAGGATATAACAATGAGTAGGAATGGTATAACCATGATGAGACCACTCATGATAACTATCATTAACTTGTTAATGTAAGTGTCTGAGCAGGCTAGCTTCAGGAGAGCAGATATGTCACAGAAAAAATGGAGAATCACATTGTTCTTGCAAAAAGATAATCTAGCCATGAGCATGGTGTGCAACATGGCATGCAATATGGTCACTATCCACAGTGGCAGCAATAGACAGGCACAGAGCTTGGGGTTCATGATGCTGGTGTAATGAAGGGGGAAACAAATGGCCACATAGCGGTCATAGGCCATGACCACAAGAAGGAAGCTCTCCATGTCTCCAAAAACCATAAAAAAGAACATTTGTGTCAGACAACTCACATAGTTAATGGATGGGTCCTGGCTCTGCATGTTGTGCAGCAATTTGGGCATTGTGACAGAGGAAAAGCAGAGATCACATAAGGACAAGTTGCTGAGAAACAAGTACATGGGTGTGTGGAGATGGGAGTCCAGTAGGATGAGGATGATGATGATGAGATTCCCCAGGACGGTGGTGAGATACATGGCCAGGAACAGGGCATAGAACAGGTGCTGATGCTCTGGGGGAATGGGCAGGCCCAGCAGGAGGAACTGGGAGATGACAGTTTGGTTGTTGCCAGTCATATTTGCCTTCAAGACTTTAAAAAACATTAACAATTTTATAAACTCCCCATGATTGAGTCTGTAATTTTCAATCTCATATATTTTATTTTAGAAAGAATGATTTTTTATATTCTGTAATTGTTATATTTTTTGCTTCACTATGGCATGGAATAACCTTGATCCCTTAGCTTCTTTAGTTGTCCTTGGTAGGTGATGACATGCTAACCATGTCCTATATACTCTGTCGACACTCCCCCAATCCATCTCCACATCTTAGTAAACACAGATATGTTTCTGTGACACACATGGTATGTTGCCTGTTCTTCAGTAATTAATCTTTCAACAAAGTTATTGTAATCTCTACGTCCAAATATTTCTAGTTATTATAGCCACGAATGGCTTCTCTTAATGTTGCATTAGCATGCTCTAATAGTCTAGTTTTGTCTAGTATTTACTTATTGCTTATATGCACAATGTATTTTTATATCTCCTTCCTGCATTCCTGCTCATTCTGGGCAACTGTAGTTCACTCCATTCTGTAGGATTTTTCTGTGAATTTTCTTGAATGATTTTTAAACACCCAATCCACTTAATTCTATATGGACCCCAAGAAAAATTCATAAACTTTAGTGTGTTAGATTTCTGATTACAAGTCAGTCATAGCTGTCTCTCAATCCTATTGAATTCACTACCTCATTGTTGACTAATAATCTTCTACATTTTCCCCACCAATATCTGAGGCTCAATGCATCCCAAGAGAAAAATCACTTATCTCTCTACCAACATCTTGTCTCTCATGTCTCTTGTTTCTCATAATACATTTAAATTAATCCAAGATCTATTATATGTTTTATTGCATTTTTTCTTACCTTGAACTCTAATCTAGCACAGTATATAGTTTCGCATCTTCATCCTCTTCTTTTTATTTTTTTGTTTTTGCTTTTGGAGACAGGGTTTCTCTGTGTAGCTTTGGAGGCTGTCCTGGAACTAGCTCTTGTAGACCAGGCTGGTCTAGAACTCACAGAGATCTGCCAGCCCCCTGCCTCCCAAGTGTTGGATTAAAGGCGTGTGCCACCACCACCTGGCCTTCATCCTCTTCTTACCCAGGCATTCAAAACTCTCCAATTGTATTCTTAGAAATGGATACCATCATTTCATACCTGAAATATTGAAGTCATAATTCAATTGCAACCCATGTCTAAACACTATTTTCTCCAATATGTTTAGCACACACTGGCATTCTGAGATGGATACAGTCCTCCCTTCCCTGATTATTTCCTCAGATTACCATCTTGTTCTAAGAACAAATTTACTATCATTCATACAAATGATGCTTGCTTATCCAACTTGTACCATCCTCTACAGCCCATTATGAACTCACATGGTGTCTATATTCTTCTCTTCAGCCATGATGTACTTCAAATTGAAGTTTGTGCCTCCAACATTTATGATTTAATATTCATTACACCTATTACATTCCTCTGTGGTGTGGCTTGTCCTATTTCTGTTTCTACAATTTGATTTGTCATATGCTAAGTTAAAGCTTCCTTGTGTCTCTACACAAAGAAAGACTTGGTACAATGTTCCCTCTCATATTCATCTCACAGCTACTGATGGCCTTGACACTGGTTCACAGCTATTTTTGCCAGACTGTAACTTCATGTAGGAAGGGCCATGACCACCAGCATACTGCAACCAGGCCAGTCCTGCCTGGATGTGACGCAGTATTCATGAAGATTTCCTGACTTTTGTGTATCCTGAGAAAAAGACACTTTCAAATTTAAGGCAGAAACTCACATTATATTCTGGTGAGATTCTTTAATATAAATTCACTAAACTGGACCTATTAGCATGAAAATTTGATACTCTGTGATTAGCTTTTCAGATGCAATTGTTTGTAATATGGAAAATATTAAGGTAAGATGCAATGCTCTTTTCAACAATACTAATAAGTCATAATTTTTATGCTTCAATTCAGATGATTTCCCTGACAGTGATGTAAGAAAATATATATTATAATATATATGTATGTATACATATATATTATAATATATATATAAATATATTATATATATTATAACATATATATTATAATATATTATATATATTATAATATATATGATGATGAACATTTTATGTAGAAGCAGTTATTTTTATATTTCTCTTGAGTGCATCTTCAGATATCCATAACTAACTTGATAGTTAATTATGCTCTAGGTCCTAATAACAATTTTGGTTAAATTATACTTCTAGATGTTTCTATGAGGGTGCTTTACACTGTTATTAGCATTCAAATTGTAGTTAATGTTAAATCATAGTAAAGTAACTCTAACCCTTCATTATGTGATGAGCCTCATGCAATCAGTTACTGAAAGAAACAGAAAAATTACAGTATCTTGAGAAATTTCATCCAGTCTGCATTGGATTTGAGACTGTAAACTCCAGTTTGCACCTATGGGACTATTCAAGTCCCAATTGTGTGGGCTGTACCTTAAAAAAGTTTCTTGTCTTGTTGTTTCCTTCTAGGTGACTCTGTCTAATGAATTCTAATCTATATCAAAATTGGCAAAGAAGTCAAGGAAAAGCACAGAGATGTGGGGACAGGGACTGGGCTGTACTGAAGCTATCTAGCATGTCCAAGTCCCTGAGTTCCACATCTAACTGAAAAAATAGAAGAAAATGAACAACACAGAGAGAGGTGGAACATCCTTCCAGGACACTATCTGACTGAGTCTAGATGCTGTGGTCTCCATCCTGCTAATGGTTATTAGAGCAGCTGCATTAACATTTAACATTTGGTTGTTACATTTGATTGCAAAGGGAAGAGAAGGGTGAAACTTGTACCTAGTTACTTAAGAATTATTCTTTTTCTGTGAATGAGTAGAGTCATGTCTTTTGGAGGCTTACATGCATAGATTGCAAATTAGAGGTGACCTGCAAAGATTGCTGATGAAGAGCTAATGACCTTCACTTCCTCAATTTTAAACTCATAATTATTGTCCTGGATAGCAGATGGGAATCTCCATGGAAATGTGTCTAGCAGTTAATATACATGCAACCCATCTAGAATTCTCTGAAAATACTGACTCTTGTTTTGACACTGATAATCATCTTTATAAATAGACACTCGGGTGATTTTGATACTCTGATTGGTAGGTTGCAGTTAGGAGCAAGCTCTTTTTGATAGAAGATCTATTCAAAGTTTACTAATGTCCCAAAGTTGAAGATGTTTTAACAAGAAACTTAAGAACTCCAGAATTGTTCCTACCTTCTAAATAGCTATTATTAGGTTGAAATGGAAAAAGAATTGCCTTGTAAGTAATTGTAATAAAACTGATCATCACCAAAATGACTATCAATGTAACCATGAAACAAGGTGTTTCTACAATGTGACTAAGTGTTGCAAAGTATTGAAATGATAATGCTATCATACCTGAAAACTGCCATTCACAGTGTCATAAAACTGGAAATGCAAGAGTCATAGGTTGCAGAACAGTAAGTTACCTCCTGACAATTTATCTAGGATGACTGAGGGTATATTCAGGTCCCTCCTTCAGATCCTGGTCACATTTATTTATTATGATCACAGGGGAAGAAAACAGCCTCTGTAGTCAACATCTTCTTAGATGTCTGCCTCTAGCCATCTCTGGATCCAGGGGCTCTACATCCCAGAGGAGTCCAGATACTGCTTAACTCATTAGAGGTATGGTAATTACCTAGGACCTATCTAGGATCAGTTTTTTCAAAGCCCTGTGATTGGGGCTGATGTTGGCCATTTATAACCCCTGAACATTTTTACGGGGAAAGTGTTTCAAATGCACACTTAACACTATGCCTGTTCACGGAATGTTCAGGATTTATGTGTAATTCCAGCTTAGATTTTTTAATAGGCTAAGGGCAGGTGTTTGGGATAAACCTGCCAGCATAGGGAACCTTGGTGGACCCATGGCATGTGAGGTTGACCAAAGTGGGGGACAAACATACCAGGCAGATGGAGCTTGAGTGAGAAGTTTTATTAGAAAGGGGATGGAGGAGGAAGAAAATAGAAAAGAGGTAACGAGGCACAGAGACACAGAGACAGAAAGAGGACAGAAGAGAAGATGGAGACAGGAAAAGTCCTGTCTGCCTACAGGGGAACAGTAGGAAAGAGAGTGTAAGTGGGCAATGGTCTTTCTTTTAAAGACCTGGGATGACCAGGGTACTGCCTGAGTGCATTCTGCCAAGTGACAGGGGCAGGCCAGCATAATGCCTGAAACCTTATAGTGAGCTATTTGAAAACCACTGATGTAGTTGCAAGTTCTTTCTGTTTAAAGAAATTGGTGCTTTGATCTAGATTATCAGGTTGTGGTAATGCAATTGTTCATAATATACTTTTGTTACTTTCTAAATTTTATTGACATGTATAATATGCCTCCTCTTTCATTTCTCATCCTTGTGACTTATGCCCTCTTTCTTCATTTTTTTAGCTTGGCTAGTAGTTTTTTTTTTTTTAACACTGTAGTAAAACGCCCAGACTTTGGCTTCACTAACTCCTTTTAATATTTGGTTTTTAATTTCAACTGATTCTCTCTCTCTCTCTCTCTCTCTCTCTCTCTCTTTCTTTCTCTCTCTCTCTTTTCCTGAGTGTAATTTCTTTTTCTCTGCCTCCTTTAATTTCCTAACACAATTGACTTTAGATATATTTTTCTTTTTCAATATTTGTGTTCCATGCCATAAATTTCCCTCAAATAATATGTTTACTGTTTTCTGCTGAACTCAGAGTTTTACACTTAGACATGGTGGATTGGCATTATAAATGGGAAAACATGTAGGAAAAAGAAATCAGTTTTTAAAAGATGTTGTCCTTATGTATTAAAGACTGACCTTGATCATGTGACAGTCCTGTCTTTGCTTCTTGAGCACTGGGATTACAGGCATGTGCCACCAAGCCCAGTTTCTGCTTCTCCTGTAATTGAAATGAGCAGTGCCTTCATGTCATGTAGGCATGTGTACAAAGATCAGAATCCAGATAAACCACAAGC